ACTCACACAAACACACACACACACACAAAACACACATCTCACTCTCACTCACTAACACACTCACTCACTCACTCACTCACTCACATACACACACTCACACTCACACAAACACACACACACACGCACGACATACATCAGAGACTTGGATTGTGATTGACCCTCCTTGCAAGAGGCCAAACGAGGAGATGATAAAGTAACGACGGCTCTCATCCTTCAGCTCCAGATGGTGGATGCGAGCGTTCACTACTCCATGTTGATGGCACAAGACAAGCAACAGCAGGGCAGACAGAAGATGATGTGGCGAGGGTATGTGAGCAGATGCGGAGACTGTGCATTGTACGTTGTACGTTAGACGCACACGCACACGCACACGCACACGCACGCACGCACGCACGCACACAGGGAGCAGACCCACGCACCTGGCGTGGCGAGCAGAGCGGCGACGAGCATCGCCGCTAACGCCAACACCTTCATCCACACAGTCGTCATCGTCAGCGGTTTGCGTTGGTGGTGGTGGAGAAACGAAAATAGAGGATGTGAAGCCGACGCCATAAACAGTAGCGTCAGGCAGGACTGTGTGTGTGTGTGTGTCTGTGTGTGTGTGTGTCTGTGTGTGTGTGTGTGTGTCTGTGTGTGTGTGTGTGTCTGTGTGTGTGTGTGTGTCTGTCTGTCTGTCTGTCTGTCTGTCTGTCTGTCTGTCTTCTGTCTGTCTGTGTTTTGATTCATCAAGGCGCATCATCAGCCACACCACACGTTTTACACTACACAGCCGACACGGGTGCACGATAGCACGATTACGGTGGCACTTTCATTTGCGTTCTCACACCCCCACTTGTGTTTGTGGCTGGCTGCGGCTGCGCGTTCGCATGACGCTGTAATCAGGAATAACGGGTCTAACGGCCAGGCACGCATGCACCAAACACAAAGCAAGCAAAAGAAACGCAAACACACACGGAACAAAACCACAAGGGTACACAAAAGCAATGCATGAAGATAAGCACAAAGGAACAACGTGGAAGAAAACGCGCGCGCACACACAATACCAACATGTCGTTAGAGCACACTGCAGCAGCCACCAGAGTCATTTGTCCGAGAAGCGGGAACAGGAGAACTTTGAGGCGATGAATCTTGACCGCTCTCAGCACGACTGCGAATGCGCTGCAAGGTACGCTCCGCCATGCGTGTGTGGGGGTGGTCTGGCCCAAGTGCGACTGTGAAAATGTCAAGCGCCTGTTGCATGTAGGCTAAGGCCTGCTCCTTCTCGCCGCAGGTGTCGTGTAGCAGGGCAATGTTGAAGTAAGACGATGCTGTGCCCCGGTGCTTCTCCCCAAGCGTCTTCAACTTGATGCCGAGGGCCGTCTTGTAATGCTGGATGGCCTTGCCATACTCGCCTTTGCTCTTAAAGGCAATGCCGAGGTTGCCGTAAGTACTCGCCGTGCTCGAGTGTTGTTCGCCCAGCGCCTCCACCTTGATGGCAAGGGCCTTCTCATACAGCTCAATCGCTTTGTCATACTCGCCCTTGTGGCGGTATGCTTCGCCGAGGTTGTTGTAAGTACCCGCTGTTTTCGGGTGCTTCTCCCCAAGTGTCTCCATCGTGATGGCGAGGTCCTTCTCATAATATGAAATCGCCTTGTCGTATTCGCCCTTGTTGTCGTAGGCAAGGCCGAGGTTGTTGTAGGTGTCTGCCGTGCTCTGATGCTTCTCGCCTAGTAAGGCGACCTTGATTTCGAGGCTCTTCTCGTGGCACGCAATCGCCTTGTCATCGTCGCCCTTGCTGTGGTAGGCACTGCCGAGGTTGTTGTATGTTTGAGCTGTGCTGGTGTCCTTCTCGCCCAGCGTCTCCACCCTGATCGCGAGGCCCTTCTCATAATATGAAATCGCCTTATCGTACTCGCCCTTGCTGTGGTAGGCGCCGCCGAGGTTGTTGTACAGGGCAGCCACGTTCCCTCCTTTTCCCCCTTCAGTGCGCAGCCGAATCGCCAAGGCTGTTTTGTAGTGGGCAATGGCCTTGTCGTGCTCGCCAAAGTCGTCCAGTACGAGACCGACTTGATGGCACAACGTGGCAAACGTCTCTGTCCCATCGTCACCGCGTGCCCGCATGGCGTCCGCTGCAGCCACCGCCTTCTCCAGGCACCACTCGCGCAGCTGGTCCTTCACAGCCTGGTTGAGAGCCGCAAAGCCAGCGCCGTGCTGGATGGCCTCGAAGATCATGTCCTTGTCGCGCGGGTTGAAGGCCTCTGCCCGCTCTGCCTGCACGCGCACCAAGGTATCGGTCACTGCCTCGTAGTTGTCGCGGATGGCCTCTTCCAGCGCCTTCTCCTCGCTGTTGGGCAGGCGGATGTTGACCTCTGTGCCCTCGTTGCTGATGCCGCAGAAGATCTCCCACAGGCACCACGCGCGTGTGAGTGGCACGGGGTCACGCCACGGCATGAGCACCAGCAGCACGCGCCCAATGTTGGCAATCGACTCCTTGAACGTCGTGCTCCACCTGATATGGGGGGGGGTGTTGTGGTGTGGAGGGAGGTGGGAGAGGAGAAAGGCATGTGAGGAAGTGGGGGTGTGAGCGAGATTATGGAGGTACAACACACACACACACACACACACACACACACACAGAGCCGCAAACACGCAAACACGGAGGCACTCACACACACAGGCACACACAGACACACACACACAGACACACACACAGACACACACACAGACACACACACACACACACACACACAAACAACGCACCACTCTTGTGGGAGGTTGGCCGTGACATTGGCGTTTTGGTTGTTCATGAAGAGGTCAAACCAGAAGAACACTGGCTGGCTGTCTTCCTTCCTTGCTCTTTGCTCCTCTGCAAACTCGAGCAAGACGGTCAACACGTCTGCGATCTTGTATCGCCACGCGTGCGACACAAACACAGTGGCTTTGCCCACATGTTCATGTGGCGACTGTTTGCGCAAGAGATCGACGTAGGCGCAGTTGTCTTGTTGTGTGCGTGGCACCACAAGCTGTTTGCAGGCATCCTCCGTCGTCATCTCAGTGTACGTGTCGGGGAACTTCTTCTTCAGGTCTGCGAGGAATGCCTTGATCGCCTCCACAGACACGCCGTCCGTCAGGCGGAGCTCGGTGTCATCGTTGGCCATCGTTCTTTGGGGCGAAGCTGCGACGACGGAAGAAACGAAGTTGGAGGGGGGGGGGGCGGGAAACGAAATCGAGGAGTCGAGGGGCGTCTACCGAGCAAGCGCGATATTTGTGGTTGTTCTGCAACCTCAACAGCAAAGCGCCCCAAATTATTGTCCCGCCCCAGGAAAATCCGCCAGGCGTTCTTTCATCCGCCAAGGATTCGAACACAGTGAGTAAGCTGTTGTGTGTGTGTGTCTGTGTGTGTGTGTGTGTGTGTGTGTGTGTCTGTGTGTGTGTGTGTGTGTCTGTGTGTGTCTGTGTGTGTCTGTGTGTGTCTGTGTGTGTCTGTGTGTGCTGTCTGTGTGTGTGTGTGTCTGTGTGTGTCAGTGTGTGTGCATTGAAGCACTCTTCTACTCTTCGCCATGCTACCATGCATCCTCAACATGGCAACGAGCCATGTGCTCATGTGGATGGAAGGACGGAAAAAGGGAAAAGATGGGAACACCCATTCACTCATTCACTGTCGTTGAGGAGTCCTCAAATTGTTGATGTCAGTATCCTTCTGCTCATCTTCGTGTTGGAAGATCTGGGAGTCTCATCGTCACTGTGTCAGCACCACGCACAGACACCGTTCCATCCTGGTCTTGGTGATTGGCGTCAACATGCCAACGCACGCACTCACGCGTGACCCGTGGCAACCCCTCTTCCGTACACTCGTGCTCGATTGGACTAGTCTGCTCCCGGCTGAAGCTTTCCTCTTCTGTGTCCGCTCTTCTCCTCTATGTAGTTATTCTCCAGCAATTATCGGGTAGGTTCACTCGTTCACGAACACTTGTTCGCTTGTTCTTCTGTCTTCCCCACTCACCTTCCCTTCTTCCTCTTCGATCATTAAGTCATTATTGCCCTGTGTTCAAGTGTTCATTCTATCGTGTACACCAGCAAGGCAACCAAAGCCAACGCACGTGCCAAGATAACACATGTTCTGGGATGCATACAGACAGCATTACGCATGCTCTCTCACTCAAGCAAGCACAATCGAGTCAACTGCAGTTCTCTTCACTCCACACGGCCACAATCAAGAGAAGACAATCACTAGACCCTTAGATCCCTCACCATCGTGCAAGCGACAGCGATGACACTCTCCTACTCTTTCTTGTATGCTACACATGCCTGTATGCACATGCCCACAGGCACATCCTCTTGTCACGAGGTAACGTCCAGGTCCACACCCCCCCCCCCACGAGAGGAGGCAGTTCTCTTCTAGATCTAGAGTTCTTCACGCCACGACCCTACGACCGCTTCACCACTGCTGTCCTTCCTCCTTGCAACAAAGCAACAAGTTGTGGGAAAGGTGCAACAGCAGAGCATTCATTGAAATCATTCGCAAATTGTCCCATCGCCACACACAAAACAACAACAAGCAACAAGCAACAACGCCCACCACCCCCACCAACTTCGACACACCACAACACAACAAGACAACACCACAGCACCATGTCGGGCACGATGACACGGCGAGAGGCCATGATGGCCGACTGGGATCTGCGCGGTGCTCCCCGCAAACGCCAGCGCGAGCGAACAAAGGACATCATCAAGTATGGCGCCATTGGGGACTTTTTCGTGAGGCAAGTTTTGTCTGTGGTGAGGAAGTGAGAGACGAGGAGGGTGTTTTGGTGGGGGTTGGTTGTTGTGTGCGTGCATGTGCGTGTGTGTGTGTGTGTGCAGTCCGTTTCAAAATGCCCTCGTGGGTGCGGCGACGGGGATATATGTGTATGTGTATGTGTATGTGTATGTACGTGCGTGTGTGTAATGTGTGTATGCTGTGGGAGGTGCGTGTGTGCGCGCGTGTGTGTTCAATACGAAGGAGTTGTGTTCACGCTGTTGTCGCGCTTCCGCACACATGCTCACGTACACACATGCTCACACACATACATACACACACATGCTCACACATACTCACATGTACGTAATCATAATGATAGGGCGGTGGAGAGCCGGCCAGGGAGCTTGGCGTTGATTGTGAAAGTGGCAAAGAAGAAGAAGAAGAACTTCCTAATTGAACCACTGCCAGACTGGAGTGCATTCGTGTTGGCCGGCCACCCGACGCATTTTGCATCCTTGCAGGACCTGCTCAACAACTTTGCCATGCGCGCCACTGCACCGATACCTGTCCGGCTCACCAGCATTTCGCCGTACGCGGGCGCCAAGCCACGCAAGAGTGCCGCCACGCTCAGCCAGGCGGTTCCCGGTTATGGCCGCAGGCCGCCCGTACGCTCGCCCAACGGTGCCTCATATGGGCAGCAGCTGCAGGCTCTCGAACAGCTCGCCGCCCAGGGCACCCCCGAGGCCCAGCAGGCCGCAGAGGTGCGTTTTGTTTTGCATCATGCCATACCTCGCCGTCACAATGCTGGTGGTGATGACGATTATGATTGTGGTTGCGGTGGCACACACACTCGCGGCCGGCCTTAATGTTCTTGCACTCACACACACACACACACAACACACATACACACACCCACACACACCCACACCCACCCACACACACACACACACACACTCACACCCACCCACACACACCCACACACACACACACACACACACACACACACACACACACACACACACACACACACACACACACACACACACAGACACACACACACACACAGAGACGAGAGACACGACAACGGCACAGACACATACAACAACACACATGCGCGGGAAATGCAGAGCTACACAGAATGACAACCCAGCGGCACTGAATCACCTACGATACGCCCATGGCATACGCGGGTCCGGGCCATGAAGGTTTCCAGCAGTTGGTGCGGGCGCAGGGGGGCTGCTGGGGCGTGTGGCGGTGTACAAATGGGGGTTTATTGGCAATGGCTTATGACACGAAGGGGACGTAGCCTGGTGACATGTTGGCTGAATATTCTTCAGAAGTCCTTGGGGAGGGCATACGACTACCCTTTC